TACATTTTTTGTTTTGCTGTAAGGCTCAAGCACTTACTGGAGAGAGAGAGAACCAGTAAGAGAGAGTCACTTAACCCCTCTGTGCCTCAGCTTCCTCATCTGGGAAATGGAGCTTCCAGGGCCTGTCTGCTCAGCATTGTGAGATGTGATGGGTTAATTCACATAGTGCCTGAGGCAGGGTGCAAGTGGGGGGTATTGGTGTGCAGGATTGCTACACGTCAGCCTCTGTACGGACATTGTCTCAGTCATGCTGATGTTAGTCCTGTGAGGTGGAGACATGGCCATCTACCTTCTGATTGGAAAACAGAGTTGTACCTGACGGTTTCCTGAGTCAGAAATGGCAAGTTGTAGAGCTGAGGTGGAAACCCATGCCTGCCTCTCCCTGTGCGCCTCCAGACACCTTTGCTGGCTGGCTGGAGAGGAGGCTATGGTGCCTATTGGTGAAGGCTGCGAAGGGATAGCTGTCACGTGCTGCGGTGGAGAGGCGTGAGAATGATGAACCGGCTTGTAGGAGATGTTGGGCCCATCGTGTCCGTGAGCGTGCTAGAAGTATTCCTGCTTTCCTCTTGTGCCTGTTCCGAGGGCTGTTGGGTGTATCTTTTCCTGGTTAATCAGCCACTTGAAGAAGTTAAAAAGGAGGATAAGAAATAGCGCTGGGCTGTTGGCCAAACTCGTGTCTGCCTCCCCTAAGTGCCATATTGTGCCACTGCTCAGGCAGAAACCACAGCCTGGGGAAACCACTGGGGCTCCTGGCTGTTTCCACCACGTGGACATCTTTGTGTTAAGGCCGTTCGTCGTCAGAATTTAGAGTCAGACTGCCTGCTAGATCCCAGCTCCACCTTGCTAAGAGGTGGGCACCTGGGCAGACTCCTTAGCACTGGGTGTTCTCACGTGGAAGATGGCGGTGGTAGCTCCACCTACAGTGTGTGAAGGCCAGCTCGTGCGCTCATGTGAAGAGCCCAGGACAGTGTCCAGGACGTAGCATGCGCTTGGTAAGTGGCAATGGTGTCGTTACGAGGAGCAGTAGGTTGCTCCTGAGAGTACCATTGCAGGGGTGAGATGGGTGGGGTGGGGCTGGGGAGAGGCTTGCCCAGAGGGCAGAGAAGAAGAGCACATGGAGACTGGCTTGGTGTTGTGTTCTGCTTGTGTGCTGGGCGTGAAGGAAGTCCCAAAGGGAGCTCGGCCAGGGTGCTACCCTGGGGACCAGAGTGAATATTCAAATGGTTTCCACCTATTCAGGTGGACCCAAGAGTCCCTTCATCCCTGTGTCTCCCATCCTGGTTGCTTGAAGCTCTCTCCCATCCTGGGAGAGAGAAATGGTGGAGGAGTCCAGGGCAGGGACCTACAACAAATGGGTAGAGCCACAGAGAAAAGCATGGAGGCCTGGGAAGGACCAAGAGGAGTGAAGAGGCCAAGGCTCCCGGAGGCCCATGCGGGGACTGGAGCTTGTTTTTTTCTGATAGGGCATGGACTGGGGGATTCTGTTGCTGCAGAGAGTGTTGGGCCCAGCACCAGGTCAGTGCCTGGATCCCAAGGCCTGCTGCACCTCTCCTGTGTTTGCCAGATGGTCTCCTGCGAGTTAGTCTTTGACGAGTTCAGGGCCTGAGGTGCACATTATGGACTTCACCTGCAAGCCGTGTGCTCTGTCCCCAGGAGAATCCCCTGCCCTAGTGGTAACGTTTGGGCCTGCTGTTCCTTAAATGTCAGCCCTCTGTGCTCTCAGGTGGGGTTTTGCATTTGACCAGGGTCCTCAAGGCCACAGCTCCTGTACAGGAGGGCTGGGATGCAAGATCAGCTTTGGCCCTCTGCTCCTACTTGGCACAGTACCCAAGGACCCTGCACATCACTGCAGAGCTAGTGGAAATGGTCTGTGTGCTCATAATACTGTTGGAACAGATCACCACGAACTTAGGGACTTAAAACACACATGTATTATCTGACGTGGGTTTCACTGGGTGAAAATCAAGGTGCTGGCAGGATTGAGTTCCTTCCCCAGACTCTAGGAGAGTTTGTTTCCTGGACTTCCCTAGTTTCTAGAAGCCACCTGCATCTCATCTTCAAACCCTGTAGCCTTTTCCAGTCTGTCGCTGATGCCCCTACCTCTCTCTTATGAGGAAGAGTCTGTGATTATTACATTGGGCCTACCTGGGCAAATCCAGGATAATCTCATCTCAAAAGCCTTCACTTCACCATAGCAGTCACACACACACTCAACACTCTTAATCTCATCTGCGGTCTCTTGGGCCATGTAAGGTAATACAGTCCCCGGTTCTAGGGATTAAGCCCTGCACATCTTTTTTTAACTTTTTTTTTTTTTTTGGGAAGTTTTTCACTGTAGGGCACGTGCGCTCGCCAGACAGACAGAGAGAGACATAGAGACAGAAAGCGAGAAATCCCCCCCCAGGGGGGATGGTCACGCCGCAATCCCTTCTCCTCCATTCTCCTCTCGGGATCTTGGGCACGCACGCACACGCGCCCGGCGTGAGTTTTAAGCCACCGGGTCC